TAATTTTGTTAATTACTTGTTAAAATTATTCTTATTGTATCCTTTGTAACTAATTATTGATTAGATTTTGTGCTAGATTAGCATTCTAGATAAAATATAATAGTAATAAAACATCAAAGTAATTAGCATAAAAAGACCTGCTTCCTTTACTCACACTTTCGAAAAATTAAATAACTGTATTAGGTACTCTGAGTAGCTATTTTGTCAAAATTAAGGTAACAAACTTACATACATTTATTTAATTGTAATATAGATATAAGTATAAATTACAAAATTATTTTAAAAATATCTATTATTATATTAAATCGGAAGAGAATTATAACAATGTAAAAGTTACAATTAGGCAAAAAATCAAACGTAGGTTAACAGAAATGTGGCCATATATGTCATATATGTTTAAAACTATGTCAATGTAAAATTGTTTTCTGAGTAAATTTAAATAGCTGCTATTATACTTATCTTAGAAGCAGTATAAAAACTCTCTCAGTTAACATGCAGATAAAGAAATTATTAGAAATAAACGTGCATTAAATAAAAAAACCTGCAAATAAAAATTTGAAAAAACCCACGTTATGTTAAAAGAGTAGCACCACGGAACTTTTGTTAAAAGAGTAGCACATTTTATCTATTATTTTAAAATTGAGTAAGTATTATTAAATTTTTAATGGTTCAGTGTAAAATGCATAAAGCAGTAACATTGTCTCTTCCGAATTATAGTTATCTTTTACACTCAGCTCATTTTAAACGCTGGTTCAAAAACGCTAATTTCCAAGCTGTGAATTGCATCTGCGCGCTCACTGTCATCATGACTACGTCATCACTTCTCACTTTCTGCTTCAGGGGGAAAAGCTCTATGAGCTAGCCTTTCTCTTCTAAGTCCTGATTCTGATCTGTACACGTTAGAGCATCGAAGATAAAAATGTTTCATTTAGACCAGTGTTGCCACTGATTTTGTTAGTAACAGACAGATTAAATTTGAATGCTTTACGCTTTACAGAACGTGGAAAACATAGTATTTGATTTCAGAAAACAGCAACACATTGCTTTTAAATAGCCGAGTTTGTTAGTAAAAAATTCAAAGATAAATAAATATCTTACGTATTTTTGAATGGCAACAGTCTGGGGTTATACAGACAAAACATTTTCATTTCGAACATTGTTGCCACTGTTTGCTTTCAAATCGCAATTAAAAATTCATTAAATTTGTATAAAGTATGAAAAAAGTCGAAAAAAAATTGAAGTTCCAAATTCTAGCTTCGATGTGACCATGTTCGGATGGAGCACTACGTGTATTCAAGAGCCGTTGTTTTCCTACGATGCGAGGAAACATGCACATATACCGATTCTTCATTATTTAGTTATAAAGATTACTGATTTAACGACGAATGGCCGCGAACTCCTTGTTTTATTTCCAGGCAGTGGTAAAAATCGAAAAACAAAATCTACAGTTTATCACATTTTGGCAACTGTCACCGGGATGACGGTCCTCGATATGTTTATAAATGGAAAGGCTACTACTACTCTTTTCGGGCTCTTACAGTTCGTAGGATATTCCATTGTGCCGTAGCGCAATTATTGTTTTTGTCTAAGGATCCAGGAAGTAGAAGTTCTGTTTTTGCTGTACTGTGATATCGTCTTTTGCATTTATTTGGTGGATGGATTTAACTCCGTCATCTTTAATTCCGAGCAGTATTATTTCCTTAGAGACAAAACGCACTTCATTATTTTTAAATTTCAAGATTATGTTTCCTTAGAAAGTCTAATTCTAATATGCAAAGGTCTGTACTATCTCTCACATATGCCGTGTAATGGTAAGTAGCACTTCGAAGCGTGATGTAAACGTTTCGTTTTCCATCGATGTCGATTTTATCGCTGGACAAAATCTTCATAGTTACTCAGGACGGCGTCCAGAGAAATTTACCTTCCAGTCCTTGAGCCAGATCTTTTCGGATGGCGGTAACATTGGCTCCTGTGTCGATGGTCATATTGCAAGGAACTCGATTTATATGTCCCATAACGAAAAGCCCATTACTGCTGCCACTCATTCCAGAAATCTTGAGGTTTTTAAAGTGGGGTTTTCAATATATATATCGAGACGGCCACCAATTTTTTTTCTGGGGAGCGGTCTTTGCTTTCGTGTTTTGATGTTCTACCCTTTCTTTTTAATTGGTTTTCACCACCCGCAATTTCAGCGTTTATTCACTGTCTTCTGGACTTGAGCAGCTCTGACTGAATGGCGGTCTCTACGCGTTGCTTGCTGGACTTCTTGAATTTTCATGGTACACTAAAGGCGCTTTTTAAATCCTTTACATCCGCCTTTCCCAGTGCTTTCTGAATCTCAAAATCTTAAATGCGATCGAGGAAGTACTGCAGGGACATGATTTTCTTTATTTCTGATGGGCAGTCCGAAAAGGCGAGTTGAAAGAGCCTTTCAAAATCCGTAGCGAGCTCCTGGAGTGTTTCCACGGGCTTCTGTTGTCGAGATTTCAATTAAGTCTTTTAGGTACTTCTCGACAAAGCGCAACTCCAACGCGCCGGATAGACCATCTAAGATCAGAAGTCTAGCTTTTGGTTTTCGGGCAGAGTTTGAAGGATGTACGCTGCGTCTGCTCTCAGAGAAGCAGTGAGATGGCAGTCCTTAACTTCTTAATCCCATCCATTTGCGTAAAGAATTAAGTCTTGTATTGTATTCTTGCCAGAATATATTTTTATCATATGTGGATAGCTTTAGATAGGGTCGTGAAATAATAGGTAGGAATTTAAATTCCTTGTAATTGTTTTCAGTTGTCACTATGGATTTCCCACATAACCGCTGATAGCTTGATAAAATTTATTTTCCCAAAAGAAACACTTTACAGTTCTTGAACTTTTTGCTAAGGTACTCGTCAGGCTTTTCTCATTATGCCAGAGCACACTGAGCAGTTACCACTTCAAGCTGCTAAAATCGTAAAACACAACGCAATGCAAAGTGCATTTAAGCGAAGCTCGCACGGAGAGCTTTCAATACTCTGAACTCAACTCTGAACTAAACTAACCCGATGCTCGCGAGGAATTTCCAGTTCCTTTGTCTTCTCTGATTTGCTGGAAGACATATGCAGTTACACTTGTATAGTGCTGGATATGGTTATAGTTACATAGTGATAGGACGAGTTATAGTTACACTAGGGTTGGAGGAAAACGTCGGCACTCACTTTCCCATCTAACCTTATTTTTCCGGCGAAACTTTACCTTCTTGAGGCCTTTCATATTACATTATGCATGAGATACTACAATTTTACGTAAAATTTCCCTAAAATTACTTATAAATATATACAAAGTTCTTAACATTGTACTACATATCAGCATTACGAGCGATATGCCTTACACATTTGCGTTATAAGCAATCTACCGAAGAGGGTTCTCAAAGCCTTTAGTATTATTTTAAAAGTCGGAATCCTCAATGATTAATCAGAATTTATTAAGTCCTAGATATTTCCACGGTTTAAATATCTTACGTTCGTTTTACTGCTGTTACATAAAGAAAGGGCGAAAATCCAACATTTGATGGTAAACGTACTAGAATGTGAAGAATTTATGAAATATGAGAAAAATATCGTACAAAAATACTAAATAATTGTACTGATTGTGTTTGTAAAGAAGAATTAAAAGCCTAAGACTCTGTATTTTTATGTATTGCTTGTTGTTTACGCTACACGACTGCGTGATAAGAAAGATGTAAAGGTTTGCGTCTTGCTTGTTATCTATTTGGCATAAAAAAGAAATATTCTTACGTGTTTCGTGTAGATAATTTATTTGATAAGACAAAAAGGAGTGATTCTGTGGGGAAAGCAAGAAGCATGATGTGAATGAGAAAATCAGGTAAGAAATTATGGACGGATCATCTGCCGAATTCCAAATCGAGACCAAAAAGACGTTTCCAGACTCATTTGTACTCAACCGCATCTTCGTGTCTTCCTCTTAAATAACGCCAGTAGTGTCTGCGATTGGAATCCGATGCGTGAAAATGGGACTTTTCCCCCTCATTCATTAATACATACACATGCACACAAAAGAAAAGAGAGGAGGAGGAAAAAAAAAAAAAAAAAAAGAATTGCTGCTTTGTGTAAACCTCCAATGAAATGAGGAACGTGAAAAACAGAAGAAATAAGGTTCTCTCTTAATTTAACTATTTTTCTTTCTTTCATAAAACGAGTGAAGTAAGATGATTTTGAGTTCACCCTTTTCATATGACACTTTACCTCGGCCAAGTAAATATTTTGTTTGACGAAATTTATCTTTCTGTTTTGTCAGATTCTATTGATAATATTTTGTCATTAGTATTTAAAATTTTTTTTGATTAATGTTGAAAGTAAATATACATTTTTCCAAATGGCAACAGGGACGGACGCTGGATATAAAAATGTTTTATTTCGAACATTATTGGTACTGAACAGCTTTAAATCTCTTAGTTTATTAAAAATAAATTCGATAAATTTGTACAAAATTTGAAATAAATCAAAAACAAATTCAAAATTTGAAATTCAGGCTTCGATGAGCCTATGTTCATGATTATAACTTGTAACATTCACTTTTTTTAACATTATTTTGACATTTTTAACATTTTTTTTTTTTTTTTTTAGTAACATATTTTCTCCTTTTCGAACATTTATTTAACTGTAACATTATTTTCAAATTTTTAACAGTTATTTGACTTTACGTAATTTTACTTAACTAAAAAAGTTACATTAATTCATATTGGTAATATTTCTTTGTTTTTTAGTAATATAATTTCTATCATTTATTTTACTTTGGCAACATTATTTTGAATTTTCTAACACGTATTTGAATTTCGGTAACATTCCTTTCATTTTTCCTATGCGGTCAATTTTTTCCCCTTGTGTTTATTTTACTTTTTATTTATTTATTTGAAAATTTTTGTTGAAATTTCTGGCAAGCTTTATGATTACATTAATTGCAAAAAGATGCTAATTATATGTTTTTTTTCTCCCCCCCCCCCCCAGCTTCGGGCAAAATAACCGAGCTCGGAAAAGCGAATAATGAACTAATGTTCAGTTTACCGCCGGTGGTATCACCCGGAGAGGAGGAGCCCGACGACGGATACTGTGAACACGTGCTCACACAGCCGGCTACCATAAGCCAGGTGGATCCCGATCTTCTGCATTCGCAGATAGCCTTACTGCCGGGTAAGAGTTTTTTTATTAGTATTAGCTCGCTTGCATCTACTATATGTTGCTTTTTATCGCTATATCGCATATCGTGTTTTCGTTATTTGAATCTACCTCTATCGTAACGCTCATCTCTCGCTATAAATCACGGTTTAAATAAATAAATTGATGTTATGACTGAGCGAGGTTTTACTATATATATTATTATATAGTAAAACCTCGATATAAAATTTTTAATTAACATTTTATTTATTGAATTTCAAGATTGTTTTTATTAACATTAGCTTGTAATTATCACTATCTTGTTTTTAATAGCATTTTATTAGATTGCATTTTATTAGCATTTTATTTGTTTTATTCGCATTTCATCAGATTGTTTTTTTATTTTTGATGCTTATTTTTGTTTTATTAGCATTTATTTTATTAGAGTTTTACTAACCTTATTAGTATTTTATTTCTTTTCTGTTAATTCTATTTAATACATCTCAATATTGTTTTTCATTAACATTAACTTATGAAAGCTAATGCATCTGCCATCATTGTTTTTTATCTCTATATCGGAAATCTTATTTCTGTTATTGAATTCTCCCTGTATTGTGACGCTCATAGATCGCAATTTATTATGCGGTATTCACGTCTGTTATTATTTAATACTAAAGAATAATTTAGAACTTTAGTCTTATTTGTCGTAAGTTTGGCTAATTACTTTTTGTTGTATTAAACTTTCTTTTGATTTTAATTTTATTAATTTTTAAGCATCACAGAAACATAAAATTCTGCTTTCCCATTAAGCAAACAATGCATGTTTCAATTATTTTAGCATCCAGAAAAGTATTCTGAAATAAATATTTTATACCACCTTTCCATTAAGTATTTGTTTTCACTTCAGAGGCTTTTAAAATATCCAATAATACCCAGTAACAGTAGAATCACATTGGTTAAGAACTCCCACAGAAAAGGGGTATAATATTAAAACGTCTCTTAACATGACATGTATAAATTCTCTCTCTCTGTGTAATATATTATGGCCCCAATCGCGCCTTGTTCCCAAAGAACGTTTGACACCAGTGCAAGTAAATTTGTGAAATGTATTTTTTGAAGAAGGTAAGCAGCAGAACATACTAGTAATTCAATAAAACCTACCAAACAATAATCCAAGCGATCTTGAAGCGCAGAAGAACGAGCTAGTAATTCATTAAAACTTATTAAACAATAATACACTACTCCAAACCATTCAGAAACAGTGACATAAATAGGGGTATGCAAGGTATGCAGCTGAAGAGGGGCCCTAAGCCATAGAGGGCCCTTAGCTGTTCTGGTCAACTAAATTTACATAATTTTGGGAAGTTAGTAAAATTTTTTACTTTTGCTGGTAAAACTTAAAACATAAATACCACAATGTAGCCGTTATATAGTATCAGATAAAATATATATAGTGAAACAGACTTGGATGTAATGATGTAGAAAAGTTGGTGTGCACAAATGTCGATTCGTAATGAAGAGCAAACTTGGCAGCCGAGACAGGTTAAATATTCATTTATACTGACTGCAATTGACATCTGAGGCCGCATTTCACTTGGCACTCTAATTGTTCCTATTTTAAACACTTTACATTTTTAATAGCTTTGCGTTAAGAAGAGAAGCAGCGTGACAGAGTCATGGTGGTAACGGAAGCAGAAGCAAAGTGCGTAGTTATATAATACGGATGATAATACGGATAGTAAATACAATATAAACAAATAAAAACTTACATAAAAGTAATTAAAAATATTTTAAATCCCTTTCTTTCTGCAAAATATTCTAACTTCTTCTTTTCTATTTCTGCAACGCCTAATTATCAGAATAGCGAATTAGTTAGTTTTATGCAGTAGTCTCTTCCAATTATCAGAATAACTGATTAGTGAAATATTTCGTAATGCCCATTTATTTCAATATTTAATTAAATATATTTAATTTTAAGAAAATCACCTAAGTTCTTTGTCTAATACGAAATATAATTTTTAATGACAACATAATTTTAATCATTGTTTTATTATGCTGATGATGCTCCTAGTAATTGGCCCTCGCCTCTAACAGAAATAGTGGCCACTACAGCAAAAATTTATTTAATGTGTGTTTGGGTGCTTTTTGTACCGGTCTTTGTAATGGAATGTTGTTATAACGAGTATCGATTATACGAATGCAACGTGCTTGTCTTAGAATCTAGATACACAGATATTAACTTTCAAAATCGGAGGTAAAATTAAAAGGTTAGTTATTTATATAAAAATTTTTTCATGAAAATGAAGAGACCTTTAATAGGACTTTTTTAAAACAATCGAATGATTCACGTTCGTTCAATATTTTAACACCTTTCCTCGTGTAATATAGCTTAGAAAAAATCATAATAGTTCTTTTAGCACGGGTTAGAAAATTTCATTTAAAAATTAATTGACTGCATGTTAAATGTAACATTGAGCTGAAATCAAAGTTTAGTGTTTTTAAATAATAAAAAATTGCAATGTTCCGAGAGTGAACTGTAAGTTCTGTGATTAAAATGGAAACTTTTTATTTCATTTCTATAAATTATGAATCATTAAATTTTTCTAAAAATTTGAAGTTTCTCGGAATTTTTCTTGAGTAAAAATGAATTATTACCCACATCTCTAAATTAAAAGCACTTCCAAACAGTCAAATTACTTCCTTGTTCTAACTACTCAATTCGAGAATTTCTGCATGCATTCTAAGAATTTCGTGTTATTTTCGATCTGGCATTTTGTTTAATTAGTTTTTAACTAATATTTTGTATTTTTAGAGTTTGAAAAAGCTTTTACAATTGCTAGCATTTTACCGAAGTACATATACGCAATTTTTTAAGCCAGTGGCTTTTTGATATTAAATGAAAAATAGTATAAAATAAAAATTTGCTATATGACGGACAACATATTCAGAATTCTTACCGTAATTAATTCATTAAAAGTCGTAAAATCGATTACATTAATACCCTTTGAAAGTTATGCGTTTTTCATATAGAAACTTTTAGAGATCACGCATTATTTTCTCATGAGACATAGATGGGTCATGAGTTTCTAAGGGGCCTGAGTCGTCTGTAAATGTATGTCTTTTTCTAATTAAAAATTAATAAAAATTATTTATTGCAATTGTAGGCTTTGCGATATCTCGCCAATATTTATTTATTGCAATAGATAATTGCGAAAATTATATTTTGCGATATCTCGCCAATATTTATTTATTGCAATAAATAATTGCGAAAATTATTTATTGCAATAAATAAATATTGGCGAGATATCGCAAAGCTGACGAAGGTTTTAAATGATAATTTTTTCCTCCAAATCTGGCAAGAATAGGGCAAAACTCGCCGGACTTGGCGAAGATTTGGCATTATTTTTGTCCGGCACCTGTACAACTATAATTGGTACTATAATTGAACTGTAATTTATCCCTTTATTTTATTCTAACCGTATCCAGCCCTTATATGTAACTTCAACCGTGTATGCCTTCTAGTAATTTCGAAAAATAAAAAATACTAGATATTTCTCCGCGGCCGGAAAGAACTCACAGGAGAGAGCATCACTTCTCAGTTTTTCAGTTCAGAGCAGACTTCGGAGTATTTAGAGAGCTTCGCTGTTTAGATGCGCTTTGCTTTGCATTGTGTTTAAAATTCTTAGTGGTTTGGAGTGATAACTACTGATCGTACGTACTCTTTCATACTGAGGAAGAGCTACAAGAGTACTTTTGTGAAAAGTTTCAGAAATTATTTCTTTGGTAAAATAAATTCTATCAAGCTATGATGGATGTGCATCCAGTCCATTACCAATCAGTAGGAACGCAATAATATAAACATATTCGTCAATACATTTCACTTAGAAGTAACAAATCCGAAAAAGAAACTGACGTCTTAAATTTTGTTGCATTCTCCCATGTGCTTATTTTTTCTGTTTTTATAAATTGTGTGTTGATATTTTGCGAACACGACCACCCGTAATTCCAAACAACTTTGTTCTCCATGGAGGTAATCGCCTGAGACTACATGGTTACCAGTGATGTGCGAAATTTGCTCGTTTTCGAATAAATATTGGTTATCTTTAGAGCTTAGGGTTGTGGTAATCTTTGTTTTTTAATGCTTTTTGATGAGACGTATAGCGTAAATGATTTACTGCGCCTTTCAGGTGAGTTTGGTGGCACTGCATACGAAAGTTATGAATGATTATAAATTAAACGCTGTCGTTTAGCTCTAACATAATGCTTCCGTATTCAGAGCGCTTGTGTTGCTGCAGTTGTTTCTTCAGAAATTTTCATTATTTAATCTCGCTGTCTGCCAGAATACTGTAACTATTAATCAAGAGGTTTGCCTGTATTTCGCATCTTTTTTGTATGATGACGTGTTTTTTTACATGCAATTTATTTATTTTCTCCTGAGAATCTTCTAGGTGATGCTTCCTGGTGAACGTTATTGTGTATATTAGTGTACATTTCCTGGTACATTACTCTAAATGATCTGATGACACGTGCAAAAGGTTCTCGTACCCGCCTACTTATTTAATGTAGAATCTTCGGTATTTATTTCTTCTATTTTAGAGACATTAGGTTATTTCGAATCAGGAGAAATGAAAAATGAGCATTACCCTCGCCGGAACTCGAACCAGACCTCTCGATACGTCCCGAGTGTGCTGACCACTACACCACAAAGGCATGCTAAGAAGGCGTAAGAAATACCCTACAGTATCACGTTTCGTACATTTTGTTTGCTTTTATTTCTACATTTTTATTACCCTTCTTATTTATTTATAGTAGTACATTCTGTATTTCTTTTCTTGCATTGTATAATTTTTTGTACATATAGCCCATATCTGTTTTCCGTTTTATTTTCTTACTTGCATTTTTCATCGTCACTTTGTAGAGACATTAGAATTTTTTTGGAAGCAGACGAAATGAAAATTTAGCAACGCCTTCGCCGGGAATCGAACCACGGACCTCTGGAATACCGGCCCAGCGTGCAGAATACACCACGAAGTAAT